CTAGCCGTACGTGAGTCACATACGACTAGCCAGGACACACTGTATTGGCTAGCCGTACGGCACTTTTCAAAAATATATGGAAGGCGAAAGTGCATATGTTAATTATGACTTTAAGCGAGGATTTTAGTCAAGAATGTTTACTTTTTAGAGATTAATCGACGTGTTGGCTACAGTAAAGAATGTACGTGTACTTTGTCATCTCAAGACGTCGAGAAAAATAGCGTTTGGTTGCAGTTAAATAACATCAATTGAAATGGTTTACAAAATTTTGATAATAATCCTTTTTTCCTTTTTTGTTTCATTAAGTTTAATTTTTAAATTGGAAAAAAAAAACAAAAAAAAACACACCGAAAATAAGTGTTGTCGGGCTCTGATAATTGCGTCAATTACCGACGGTATAGAAGTTTGTCCATCGTCCATCATTAAGGAAAGTTTGCATTATTAAATTATTTTTCCTTTTCACCGTTTTTTTTAATACTCTTTTTATTTATTTATTTATTCCCCTATGATCATTATTTATTCGATCCATGTGCTTAATTAACAGATTTAACAATTCATCTTTTATACAAATCATAAGCATGAAAATTTTAAGGACGTTATAACATGCAACTTTAATTGACACTTAATGTTATTAAGATAGATTATACAACGCTTACTCGTATTCATTTTTTGTACGTGCAAAATTGCGGAGCATCTTTATTAAAGTGAAGACACTAGGACAAATGCGGAGATTTGATTAAAATCGTCGTTTAAAGACACAAAATAACATATGCATTTTCGACTTCCATATAATTTTGAAAAGTGCCGTACGGCTAGCCAATACAGTGTGTCCAGGCTAGTCGTACGTGACTCACGTACGGCTAGAACTTTTGGCTAGCCGTACGGGCCCGTACGGCTAGCCACTTCCTTAAATTAAATGAGAGGATTTAATCATGACTTTTCGGACGTGACAGTTCAATTATTTTGTTTAAAGGTATTCATTTTTTGGTTTTGTTCATGAATAAGTCAAAATTAATGTAAATACACGCTGTTTTAATTGTTTAAATTCATTAGATCTAAATCGATGTCTAATGTCATTTTTTTTTGCTACATGATTTTGCAAAGATCTGTTAAGACCTAACGTAACATGGAAAATGAAAAATGTAGCCAAAAGTTCTAGCCGTACTTGAGTCACGTACGACTAGCAAGGACTCACTATATTGGCTAGCCGTACGGCATTTTCAAAATTATATGGAAGTTGAAAATGCATATGTTATTTTATGACTTTAAGCATGGGTTTTAACCAAGAAACATCAATTGTCTTCATATGTTTACTTTTTATAGATTAATCGCCTTGTTGGCTACAGTAAAAAAGTATGAATATCGATCTTTGTCATCCTAAGACGTCGAAAAAAAATAGTGTTTGGTCGCAGTTTAAAAACACCAATTGAAATAGTTTACAAAATTTTGATAATAAAAATTTTGATAAAAAACTGCGTATGTGAGGCCTAACAGTTCACTCCACCAACCACACACATGCGACCATTTCATGTTTTATATGATACATGTCTGTTTTAAAAGTGCCATTTGGTAAATTATACACTGCTTTCGTTTATTCTTGTTTCCTGTCCTATTATGTTTCCCATAGTCCAGTCTACGCATCTGTTTTCAATTAGAATTCCTTGGCTTTAATCCTTATTTTGTAATTCGAAAAGTTGCCATTAATCAATTACCCATAATTTTGTAGTACTTCCAGTGAAAGGTTTCAAAGCCATTAATAACTTTCTAGCAGGTACTTGTAAAGCTGGCTTTGCATGCAGGTCCTTTGGGCCAGCTTTTCAAGCTTGTTATTACCATTAAAATATCAAGATATCAATCCTAAATCTTGAGATCATGGAATGTATCTAATAAGCAAACTGAAGTTTAGTCTTATAAATGATTGTTGCTTTAAAAAAATTAAGAATTTAGATAGTTTTACTTCTTGGCAAAGCAACATCATATCGTAATTACTCATAAACTCAGCACATTCCCAAGATTTTCATAAAACACATAAGTCAGTGTACAAATACTAATTGATTCCAAACGTTTAAATGAGATCTATGACAGTTTCAGCCTGAATATTTTTTTACTGAAATATATGCCTATGCACCGTTAGTCCAACATATTATTATTATTATTATGTACAGACTTCCCGAAAGTTGAAAAAAACTGTCAGACATTCGGTCTGACAAACCATGAAAATCTGTCGGACCGAAACAAAATCAGTCGGACCAAATAAAATTGATCAAAATCAAATAAAAACTTGTGTGTGTATTTCTAAGACACTTTTTGTTTTTTATTTTTTCGCCGTCAAAATCGGCACAATCCGTACAGCGCATTTTCATCCCCTCCCTGTCAAACATCAATGATTCATGGTTCTGCTTCCATTTTTCATTAAATTTTGTCTCAGGTCTATTCTTTTCATCATTTTATTGCTGTTCTGCGCACTTTTCTGATGTAGATTTTCGGTTTTTCCAAGGTTTGGCACCTTTAGCAACGCCATTTTGTATACATGCGGCTTGGATAAAAGCCGGACAGTCGGACCGATCCGGAATAAAAAATTGTCGGACCTGAACAAAATTTATCGGACATGTCCGTCGGACCGACGTATTTCGGGAAGTCTGTATGTAGCAAGTAATGTCTGATTTTTATGCCCCCGCCATATAATGGCAGGGGCATATAGTGTTACCCTGTTCCGTCATTCCGTCCTTCCGTCATCATCAGTTTCCGTTCATTATCTTAATAACCGTTGCACATATTAAACTCAAATTTGACATATGGATATGTCATGAGAAAATACAGGTCAAGTTCAAAATTGGTCATGGTTCGATGATTTTTGGCAGAGTTATGCCCCTTTTACATTGAAAATAATATGAAATTTTCAGTTTCCGTTCATTATCTCCCCAACGGTACAACACATTCAACTCAAAATTGACATATGGATATGTCATGAGAAAATACAGGTCAAGTTCAAATTTGGTCATGGTTCGATGATTTTTGGCAGAGTTATGCCCCTTTTACTTTGAAAATAATATGAAATTTTCAGTTTCCGTTCATTAACTCCCCAATGGTACAACACATTCAACTCAAACTTGACATATGGATACGTCAAAGGAATGCGCAGGTCAAGTTCAAATTTGGTCATGGTTCAATGATTTTTGGCAGAGTTATGCCCCTTTCACTTTGAAAATAATATGAAATTTTCAGTTTCCGTTCATTATCTCCCCAATCGTACAACACATTTAGCTCAAACTTGACATATCGATACGTCAAAGGAATGCGCAGGTCAAGTTCAAATTTGGTCATGGTTCGATGATTTTTGGCAGAGTTATGCCCCTTTTACTTTGAAAATAATATGAAATTTTCAGTTTCTGTTTATTATCTCCCCAACAGTATTAAACATTCAACTCAAATTTGACATATTGATACGTCAAAGGAATGCGCAGGTCAATTTTAAATTTGGTCATGGTTCGATGATTTTTGGCAGAGTTATGCCCCTTTCACTTTAAAAATAATATGAAATTTTCAGTTTCCGTTTATTATCTCCCCTAAAATATTACACATTCAACTCAAATTTGACATATGGATATGTTTTTGGAATGCGCAGACCAAGTTTGAATCTGGTCATGGCTCAATGATTTTTGGCAGAGTAATGCCCCTTTCACTTTGAAAATGATATGAAATTTACAGTTTCTGTTCATTATCAACCCAACAGTGTTACATATTCAACTCAAAATTGACATATGGATATGTCAAAGGAATGCACAGGTCAAGTTGGAATTTGGTCATGGTTCGATGATTTTTTGGCAGAGTTATGTCCCTTTCACTTTGAAAATAATATAGAAACATCTTAGGAATAAGCAGTTTAAGTTTGAATTTGGTCGTGGTTCAATGATTTTAGACAAACTTATCTTTCCTGAATGTTGGAAAAATTTTGAACTTTCAGTTTCAGCACTCATACTTTTGTGGAAATGTATATAGCCATTATGTTGGCTACAAATATGCAATATTTTTAAAAGGTTAAGACTGAATAATTTCAGTGCCTTGAACATTGTATAAAAATGGTTTGTGTAAATATTGAAAAGTTTTAAGGGCTTTGAACTTAGAATGAAAAAAATAATTTGTGCAAACAAATTTGGAACTAAATATTATAACATTTGAAATTTTGGCTGCATGCGGGGGCATCCGTGGCATGATGACACATTTCTAGTTTATAACTAAAATTATGAACATGAAATTCTTTGCTAGGGAAACCTTACATATCATCCTTGTTTAGACCCTGGGTCTATTCCGTCTAATTTCCAGGATATAGACGGGCTGTGGTGCATTGAAAATATTGGGTGCATTCTCTATAATTTTATTTTAGTGTATAACAGGTTAAAAGTAGTCCATTATGATTTGTTTGTGAGATTATCTTTGTCGTTATCTTATAATAAACACCTTTCTCTATTTATTTGCAGAAAATTGTTTTGTTGGGGGCCTTAGCTGGGATACTTCTAAAGGTTTGCATGATTATCATTTTGTGTTAAAACACTGAAAGAAAAAGTTTTAAATCAATCCATGTCACACATTGGACGGTTAATTAATGTAGATTTTTTTATATATGAAGAACGATATATTTGTAATTTGAAAGTATTACACTATTTTTATCTGTAATTGATATCTCTAGCAATCTTATATTGTATTTATTGAGAATGTTATCACTAAAGTAATCATTTACAGTCTGATATATATATATTAGTAAGATCATAAAGATAGTGATTTCTTTTGAAATTGAGACTGAAGATAATTGTCTATAATTTTTTACAAGGTCTAAAGATGAACGAAACTATTGATGCTTATTATTGTGTTATAATATATTCTAATTCTTGAACTTCATGGAAGAGAAAAATGCAGATATAATGAGTATAAATAAATAATATATTCATTTATATACAGAAATAGCCAGTATAAGCCTGACATGATTTTTTTGTATGTATAACATGTCTTTATTCCGGACTGTGATTACAGACAGTCTGTTAGAATACTTTAGTCAGTATGGGGAGGTCATTGACTGTGTTGTTATGAAGAATCCAGAGACCGGAAAGTCACGAGGGTTCGGTTTTGTGACCTACAGAGACACATCATGTGTGGATACAGTGTTATCAGTACCAGCACATATTGTAGACGGAAGACAGGTATGTGAAAAAAAACATCGAATTTTTTTTATTAAGAAGAAAGTTGATAAAAAAATGAAACAAAATGCGTGATGAAATAAAGGGCTAGGATGATCACTTAAAGCATTCTTTTATTGTGATTATGTGAAACAATTTGTGTATGATAAACAATTATGAATGTACTTAGATTTGTGTGTTCTGCACATTATCTTTTCTTTATTTAATCTTTTCTTTATGACTAAAGTTAATGTAAATGTTGTTCAGACAGAAAGTTTTAAGTCAATGTAATGAATACATTCACTTGTTATATGTTTAATGTGGTATCAGAAAGGAAAGGTTTTTACATTTTAATTGCCGATGATAGTTATGAACGGCTGACAAAGAATATTATATAAAAGAAGTTGGCAACAAATTTACATGAATTGGCATCAATATTACAAAGTTCTGTAAGCTGACATTTGTAAAATTTGTATTCTGATGTTTGTTCATTTGATAAAAAATTAAAAGTTTTAAAGTGTACAGTACAACCTCTTCCAAGAAAATACACCTTTTTTGGAGACAAATATTTAAGTCGTTTGCTTAGCGGTGGGGCTCTAGAGAGATAGCATTTAACTTGAAATTATAAATAATTATTAAATGAGTACTGTTGTTTTGTTGAAAGTCTTCTGCGGGAGGATTGGCTTTTATTATAAAAATTCAAAAAAAATTGAAATAAGTAGTAGCTAGTTTACTTGCCCCTAAGACTTGTCATAACTTAATATAACGGGTTCCAGTTGTTGATAGCAAATGTATTGTAGCTTATATCTTTAGTTGTACAAGTTTTTAACCACAATTATAAATAACATAATAAAAAAGTGTACACAATGTTTCAGGGTGGATCCAAAAGCATGTAACCCAAAAGGTACAAACCGAGGTGGTGGAGGAGGTGCAGGTGGTGGACAGATGGGTGGAGAACATAGAATGAACAGGGTATGATTAAAACATATTTAATAATCCATCTTTAATTATAAACTTTTTATCTAGCATAAAATTTTAATTTTTCTGTTTACTAAGGAAAAGCGTTAAATTTTGGATGTCACAAACAAAAATCAAGGAGTTAATGACTCCCAAACTTCCACTTATAGAAGCTCTGTTTCTTGCTTTCTTAAATTTGATGTTTTGGAAATTTATTTACTCAGCAAGAGGTGTGTGCAGTTTAAAAATTGCTGTAATCAAATCATTCATTACCATACTTGTAGGGACCTAGAGGCGGGGGAGAGAGGTCCCACAGGGAGAATAGGAAGATATTTCTAGGGGATCATTTACTTAATGTGATTGATGAGGGAAGCATTTAGAAATTGCTTCCGGTCCAGATATGGCAGTTAGTAGGTGAGTAAATGAT